AAGCTATAAGCTATAAGCTATAAGCTATAAGCTATAAGCTATAAGCTATAAGCTATAAGCTATAAGCTATAAGCTATAAGCTATAAGCTATAAGCTATAAGCTATAAGCTATAAGCTATAAGCTATAAGCTATAAGCTATAAGCTATAAGCTATAAGCTATAAGCTATAAGCTATAAGCTATAAGCTATAAGCTATAAGCTATAAGCTATAAGCTATAAGCTATAAGCTATAAGCTATAAGCTATAAGCTATAAGCTATAAGCTATAAGCTATAAGCTATAAGCTATAAGCTATAAGCTATAAGCTATAAGCTATAAGCTATAAGCTATAAGCTATAAGCTATAAGCTATAAGCTATAAGCTATAAGCTATAAGCTATAAGCTATAAGCTATAAGCTATAAGCTATAAGCTATAAGCTATAAGCTATAAGCTATAAGCTAAACCAAACACATCAAAATAGCTTAAATTAAGCTGAAAGCCGAAATAAGCTGTAAATAATTTTTGCCAAACAGGCACTTTGTTTTGTATGGTCTCTTTTTGACATAAGTTACAAGTATAGATTAGAGTTTTGAAAAGTTTAGAAGTTGTGAACTTTGTTCAAGATCATATATTCATAAATTCATATTAAATGAATGTGGATTGCCATATATGATGTGGATTTACATAAATTATATCATAAATGCATAAATATAATATAGGATCATAGATCACAATTGGGTTCGAACCCATATCTTACCTATTTAGTCCACATGATCATCATGTAAAATAACATTTTCATTAATCACTACAAAAAATTAAGGTTTTGAGGACCAAAATTTAGATACAAAATTAATTTTTAGGTACCAAATATTTTTGTTGCAAAAAATGTTGTTATTATATTTTTAGCAATGAATATTGGACATTAGTAATAAATTATTATATATTTGGGACCAAAGTTTTTGTCTCAAAAAATAAACCATTTTGAGACCAATTATTTTATCCTAAAAGTCTATTTATTAGCGACATTTTCAAAATTTTGTCGCTTAAAGTCTTATTTTTTACTTTTCGGGACGATCTTTTAGCGACTATCCTCACGATGATAGAAATTAGTCCCTAAGTGTTTTTTGCAACAAAATTTTCACTTTTAGAGACCAAAACATTTGGTCTCTAAAACTCTTATTTGTTGTAGTGAATTTAAGTTTAAATATTTCATGTTTATAATATCTAAGTATATAAATATGTTTTTCTATGTAATTTAGACAAAGTGACTGAATCTTTACGATTCACGATTCGATTCGATTCGATTCGCGATTTGGTACATGGCCAATTCGATTCACGATTCGAATCCCGATTTAAAAATTATGTTATTATGTATTGAAAATTTTAACATGAAGCGT